TTGACATTCTGGTTGTAGTACCTAGCAGTCCTGGCGTGATATGCGGCGAGCCTTAGCTGTGCGTCCGTACGCCTTTCTTCCAAAAGGTCGAGCCCTAAGCCCATTAGCTCGGCGTTTCTAGCCTCTTCATATCATGTCACTCGGCTTGTGGGAAGGGATACCTCGACTGGTAGGACCGCTTCCACCCGATAAGCCATTGAGAAGGGAATTTCTCCCATGGTAGTCCTACTTGTCGTCCTGTATGCCCATAACACATTTGGCAATTCATCGGCCCACTTCCCCTTATAGTTGTCGAGGCGTCGCTTCAGTGTTACTTTTATGACCTTGTTGACCCCCTCGACCTATCCGTTGGACTAGGGATATACAACAGAAGAAAAGTTCTTATGGATACCTAGCAATTCAAAAAATTGGTTGGTGTTGTCGTTGTTGAACTGTCTCCTATTATCTGATACGAGAGAATGTGAGACACCGAACCGGTAGACTATGTTGTTCCATATGAAGTTTGTATACTTTTCCTTTGATATTGTTGTTAGTGACTCGGCTTCAACCCACTTCGTAAAGTAGTCGACGGCTACAATGGCAAACTTATATCTGCTAGGGGTTTTGTGTAATGGGCTGATGAGATCAATCCCCCATTTGGCAGAAGGCCAAAGAGAGACTATCGATGTTAGATCCTCTGAATGCAGTTGAGGGATGGGGGCGTACCTTTGGCAGCTTTCACATTTCTTTGCATACTCGGCCGCCTCCTTTTTTAGGGTCGGCCAGTAGTATCCCTACCTTAGTATTTTCTAGGCTAAGGACTGCCCCCCTGCGTGGTTTCTGCATATCCCATCATATACTTCTGAGAGCACCCTCTTTGCTTCTTCTTCATCAAGGCACCTGAGCAAGGGCGTCGAGTATCCTCTTCGATAAAGAATATCATCGTGTCTAATGAATCTCGACGCCTGGTACCTCAACTTTTTCGCTTGTTGTTTGTCCTCTGGGAGTTCACCATCGACCAAATATCTGATGATTGGGTCTTTCCAGCTCGGCTGATGATTTATCGGCATGACTTCTAGTTTTCCCTCGGTGGTAGGAGCTTTTAAAACTTCCGCAGGTACTAGTTTCAACAGCTCAACATCCTTTGAGGTGGCTAGCCTGGCAAGGGCGTCAGGTTGCTATTTTCCGCCCTTGACACTTGCAGTATGTCATAGGCCATGAATTTTTCCAATGCCTCTTTGACCTTCTTAAGGTAGGCTGCCATTTTTTCATCCCTGGTTTGACATTGGCCTTTCACTTTATTCATGACCAGTTGTGAATTGCTGAAGATGTCTATGGCCTCCACTTTTAGGTGTTCTGCTAACCGGAGTCCAGCTAGCAGCACTTCATATTCTGCTTCATTGTTAGACGCAGGAAATTCAAACTCGATGGCTGAGGTTATTTTATGACCCTCTGGGGTATGCAACACCAATCCTGCTCCACTGCCGTTGTCATTGGAGCTCCTGTCAACATAGAGTCTTCGCCTGAGTGGTCCATTGGCGACCTCTGTTTCATCTGGCAACTCGGTGAATTCAGCCACAAAGTCGGCCAGGGCATGGCCCTTGATGGCAATTCGTGGCTTGTAGTCAATGTCGAACTGGCTGAGCTCTATGGACCATTTAAGAAATCTTCTAGAAGCGTCGGGCTTTTGTAATACCTGCCTGAGAGGATGGTTTGTCAAGACTTGTATCTATGGGCCTAGAAATAGTGGCATAGCTTTCTCGACGTTGCCACTAATGCAAGGGTGAGCTTTCCTATCTGTGGATATTTTGTCTCTGCGTTGAGGAAGCGCTTACTAGTTTAGTACACTGCACCTTCTTCTCTTCGCGGATCAACACCGAACTAACGACGTGTTCTGAAACCGCTAGATACAGGCTCAACACTTCTCCGGCCATAGGTTTGGACAGTAGAGGTGGTTTCCCAAGATGTTCCTTCAATTGTCAGAACGCGTGTTCGCACTCCTCTGTCCATTGGAAGGGCTTGCTTCCTCGCAGGGTATCAAAAAATGGCATGCACTTATCTGTAGATTTTGAGATGAATCTGTTGAGCGCTGCCACACAGCCCGTTAGCTTCTAAACCTCTGATTGGTGCATGAAAATGCACCATAAATACTACTTTTGATTTATATAATATTAAAATATTTAAGCTTTAATTAAGCAATTTCATTATTTTTATTCATAATATTTTAATTAGAATTTGTCTAGTTTTTGCTTAATTATTTACAGATGAAAGCAGTGTAAAAGGCTACACAAGAAGAAGCCATGAAAGCCATATTTTCAGCCCATCTGAGCCACACAAGCCGAGCTAATCAGAGAGAGCCACGCCACCCATCAGCCAAGCCAAATGAAGTGGGTCCCGCATGTCAGCGCAGAAATCCGCGCCTTTCCTCTCGCTCCGTCTCACGCCTCACGCGTCATCAGCACGTGGCTCATCAGAGCGTGCGTTCCTTCCACACGTCCGTTAGCGCGCGTCCAAGGCCTTCCTCACGCGGGTCCCGCGTGACAGCGTGCCAGCCCAAGTCTTTCTCCACGCGCGACAGCTGTCCTCCGCTCTGCGAATCGCCAGCACACGCCAACCACTCCAATTCTGACACGTGGCAAATCAATTCCGATCAACCAATTCCATAGCGACACATGTCCACTGAGTGCAGAGTCCGAATTTCTCCTTCAAAAATCAGAGCAAATTACCAGATTTCTTCCCCAAATCAAATATATGATTTCTCTTAATTTATGAGTAATTTTATTTTGTTTCCTTTTCTTTTGTAATTTTTTAGTTTTACAATTTATTTCCTTATTTGACAGATAACCTCTGAACACTATAAATAGAGAGGTTGGCCTAAGGTTTTAGGGGAGCTTTGAATATTCAGTTTTCTGTCGTCTTGTTGTTAGTCTCATATTTTCTCTCTAGAACTTGTGAGAATGTTTTGCAAGATAGGCTAGAGTTTTCTTTGTGAGGTTAGAGATGAACTTCCGTTCAGCGACCCAATTTGGGGTTTTGATTCCTTGTGCTGTAAAGTTTAACATCTGAATAAATTAAATCTCATTTATTTTTCTATTACTTTTCAAAATATTGTGTGCTAATTTTTATATAAGTTTAGTCACGCTTTTCTTATGTAATTATGTCACGCAATGTTTTGTTATTCAAATTATTTTACAAATTGTCTTTTACTGCAATATTGTCAGATTGATATATTGTCGATTTTAGATAACTTGTAATAATAATATTTTCTGAGCCAACATAGAGATTTAATTTATTCGATTATTTTATTTTGTGAATCAAAACTTGAATTGGTGAACGAAGCATTAGGGATTCTCGACACCTTACCGTTTTCTTCATACAGATTTTCTCCTTTTTATTTTATTTGCAAAAAAACTATTCTTTTTCTTTAATTCACTTTTCTCTAACGCTCTTATTCTGTTAGTCTTTCTTGTTATTTTGTTATCTCTCTGTGGATACGACCGCCATTCTGTGCTACAATTGACCGCTTGTGAATATCACTTTTGGGCGTTAATCAAATTTTGGCGCCGTTGCCGGGGAGGTGCTACTAGCAAGACTGATCAGTAGATTTTTTAGCCAAAGAGGTACGTATACATTTTTTTTTAATTCTTATTTTCTTTGCAATTAAGCTGTGTTAGTTTCTTATTTTTAGTTATTAATCTGTGTCTAACTTTTATTTCACGTTCTGTAGTAGATTAGTAGTTTAGTTTGTTTTAACCTTTTTTTTTCTTTCTCCTTGTCGTTATATATATTCTTTTCTGCTGTCGTCCCTTAATCAAAAAAAAAAAAAAAAGTTACCTTTCTCACGTTCTTCCTCTGTGTTTTCCCTTGTTTGTTTTTGTGTTCACCTTTTTAACATTTGTTACCTTTTTCTTTTTTTTATTTATTTCCGTAGTTTTGTGTTGCTAAAAAAAAATCTCACACTTTTAGGATTTGTGTTTTAGAATTAATTGTGATTTAATTTTGTAATATTTTATTTTTGGTAAATTAGGATTTTATTTTGTTTCCTCATTTGTATATTTTAATTGTTGCCTAATTTATTTTTCCTTTTATAGTTTCATTAATTTTTAGAATTATAATTAAGATGATAATTAATTGACTAAATTAGATTCCTAATCTAGGATTTTCATAATTTGGTAGATTTAGGCTTTTGACTTTAGGAATAGTTTCCATTAATTAGACTACATTTCATAATTTACTCAATAAAATTTAATAATTGATTTTGCGAATAATTGTGTGGTTACGTGGAAGGTACAATCTGAGGGACTTCTGTCTAGGAAAGTTGGTACTTAAGAGGGCCTCGCCCCACCAATCTTTCCTGGGAACGTTGCTCTGTCTAGGAGGCTATTCATTGAGCCAAGAGCTATAGTCTTTTCTGGGAGCACTCTCGGTGGTTAGAATTTACGTTACTATATAGTTATTTTCTTTTGCTTTGATTAAAAATAAAAACACAAAAAAAATTAAAAAAATTAAAAAAATTAAAAAACTTTAAAAAAAACCGCTTTGGGTGAATGCATCGGTATAGAGACGAGCTAGGGAGATTCGCTCAACGTCCAGATTTAGAAACCCCTAGTGAAATTCTATCTGACTCGTCTTCTACGTCTCCATCTTCGCACTCGTCGTTGGAATTCGCATTTCAAAATCTATTCGCAATGGCACAACACGAGGAAGTTCAGCAGAGGATGTTGCAAGATTACTTGCACCCAACGCGCACGGCCACCCCATCTTGCATCATCTTCCCACTGAAAGCACCGCCTACGGATTTCAAGTCGGGCATGATTGCACTTCTCCCAACTTTTCACGGATAAGAGAACGAGAATCCATATGTACACATTCAGAAGTTTGAAGAGGTGGTGGCCACCTTTCACAGCCGTGCTGAGGCCGCAAACACTGTTAGATTGAAGTTTTTCCCTTTCTCTCTGAAGGACAAGGCCAAAAGCTGGCTGTATTCTCTTAGGCCCAAGTCTATTGGTACGTGGGAAGAAATGACGACGACATTCTTCAACAAGTATTTCCCACACCATAAGACCAACAATTTGAAACGACAGATCTCAAATTTCGCTCAGAAGGAAAATGAAACTCTCTATCAAGCTTGGGAGCGTTTTAAAGATCTGTTAAATCTGTGTCCCCACCATGGATATGAAAGTTGGCGCCTCGTAAGCTATTTCTATGATGGACTCACAATCCGAGAGTGCCAATTTGTTGAGATGATGTGCAATGGAGATTTTCTCCAGAAGGATCCTGACGAAGCTATCGAGTACTTGAATGAGTTAGCTGAGAAAGCTCATACTTGGACTGGACCGAGTGCTACTGAGAGCACCGGTAGGTCCCGACCAGCTAGAGTTTATCAATTGAGGGAAGAGGATAGCCTTAAGGCCCAAGTTGAAGCTTTGACAAAGCAAATTGAGGCCCTCAAAAGTAAAGATAGTAAAGGACCCAACATGGTGGCAAGAACAGAGGCACATGAGCTTTGTTTAGTTTGTGGTGGAATGGGCCATCTAGCTCAGGATTGCCACACTTTAAGTGAAATGAGAGGGGTATACAAGGAGCAGTGCAACGCTTTGGGCGTATATGGAAAACCATATACACCTTTCTCGGAGACTTATAATCCTGGTTGGAAAAACCACCCGAATTTCAGTTGGCGAGATTCGAACCAACAAGCACAATCATCCGAAGGACAATGGAGATCAGAGCAACAATCTCAACCACCAAGGACATATTTTGCGCCTCAGAATAACATACAGCCGAAAGGGAATTCTCTAGAAGATACCCTAAAAGCTTTTATGGACACGCAAAATAAGACGAATCAAAGGGTTGATTCGATGCTCACACAGCTGGTGGAAGAGAACAAGGAAATAAAAAGTCATATCACAAAGCTGATAGAAGCTTTAACCGTTCAGGAGCGCGGTAGATTTCCATCACAAGCCCAGTCCAATTTGAGAGGACAACACATGGCTTAAACTTCCAACTCTGAAGGTCAAAATATCAAGGAAGTTAATGCCATCTCTACTCGAAGTGCTAAGAATTTAGACACGCCATCGACAAGTATAACCACTTCGAGTAATGAACAATCGGCTCAGGAGAAGGAAGAGCCAACTAAAATTCCGGTGAAGGTGCCTTTTCCCCAAGCTCTCCGACCTGCTGGGAAAGTGCCGAAAAATCAAAGTGAGATCCTGGAGCACTTGACACAATTGAAGATCAATCTTCCCTTACTACACGTGATCAAGCAAGTGCCGGCCTATGCCAAGGTTATCAAGGATCTGTGCACCATAAAGAGAAAGCACCACATCAAGAAGACTGCATTCTTGACGGAACAAGTGAGCGCGGTGATTGAGCAGAAAACACCACCGAAATATAAGGATCCAGGTTGTCCTACCATTTCTTGCGAGATCGGGACACATGAATTCGGCCAAGCGTTACTAGACCTAGGATCGAGCATGAACCTCATGCCTTATTCGGTCTACTCACAATTGGGTCTTGGAGAGATTAAGCCCACATTTGTGTTTCTGCAACTGGCCGATAGATCCATTAAGAGACCACGGGGAATAGTGGAAGATGTTTTGTTGCAAGTTGACAAGTTTTATTACCCCGTGGACTTTCTTGTCTTGGATACACAATCCGTGGTGGATATGGAGTCATCCATTCCCATCATTTTGGGAAGACCTTTTCTTGCCACAGCAAACGCACTTATCAATTGTAGGAATGGTCTGATGAAGATATCTTTCAGGAATATGACCCTTGAGGTGAATATTTTTCATATTCAAAAGCAACCACGTGATGATGACGAGTGTCACCAAACATTTATGATCGACACACATGATCGACACACTTGTCGAGGAGGAGGTTCTGCCGCAAAGCAACTTTGAAGATCTTGAAAACCCCCTCCAAAATTCTGAATCTGAGAGTTCTGATCCTTGTGAGGTGGCTACCATTACTGCCACTTTCAAAGAATCATAGGATAGAGGAACTAAGTTTGGGTCACCATGTTTTCAGGAGCTCCCAACAGAAGGAGAAAAACTGAAATCATCCACCGAGGAGGCTCCAAAAGTCAAGCTAGCCCGACCACCTAAGGGCTTAAAACATGCATTCTTGGGAGATGAAGACACATTCCCAGTCATCATCTCATCTAAACTCGATCCATTGCAAGAACAACGATTGATCGACATGCTGAAAGAGCGCAATTCTAGGATCAAGGTAAAAATGAAAGCGGCTCATGATAAGCAGATCCTAAGGAAGAATTTCGAGCCAAATCCATGGGTTCATCTCTATGATTCCCGTTTGCATCTCCACCCCGGTAAGTTGAGGTCACGGTGGACTGGCATGTTCGTAGTAAAACGCATTTTTCCCAATGGTGCTGTCGAGGTTAAGGACCCGACCGATGGGAGAATATTTAAAGTAAATGGCCAGCGTCTAAAAAATTACTTAGAGCGGGTGAACCAGGTTGAAGAGATCATTCTCGACGACCCCGTTTACCAGCCCTGAGTAGTTGGCTCATATCTTCTGTGCCATATTTTGATTTTCTATTTTTTTTCTTTGCTTCTTTTTACATTTTTTTTATGTGTGTTTTTGGAGAATCATACCAGGAAGCTCAGGTTGTGCTCATAAGTGGAAAGCTCATCGTCCAGGTGTCTTCTTTCTCTACTTTTCATAATTTTTGACACTAAGGACATTGTCTGATTTCGGTTGGGGGTGGTGAGCATATTCATGCATAAGAGTGATTTTTGTCATGTTGATATTTGGGTTAAAATTTTTGTGAAGTTATCTTAGTTTGATTTCAAAAGGATTAGTTTGAGTCGATTTTTGTTGTCTTGGTTACTAAGAAATAACTTCCAGAGTTTCTTTTTGCACGTGCTAAACCTTGTGGTAAGATGGATGTTAATGCATGTCAGCTGAGAAAATTCCTGAGTTTAAGTGCTCTATTTTTGGTGAGTTAAGAGAGTTGAGAAAATGACTTTTGAACCTTCATTGATCTTTTGAGCTGGTAAAATCACTATTAAAACATCATTACATGGTTAGTGGTATGCTTGGTGCATATGCTTGAGGGATGGATTTTGGGTTAGATAGGAATGATCTTATGTAATAGAGCATCATTTCTTATTTTTCAAAAAAACAAATAAAAATATATATATATAAAAAAGAGCAAGAGCAACATTTCATAGATGATGTAGTTTGGTCATAATCACATTTGATGTTATATAATTGTTTGTCAAAAGAACGCCTTTCTACATTCACCTCATTATTGCAGGTTGTCTTTTGCCAAAAAAAATAATAAATAAATAAAAAGGAGTAGTTTATTTTTCTATGCATTTTTGGCTCTTTGATCGTTTCTGTAAATTTCTGTTTGACTCGAATGAAATCCCAAAAGCTGGTTTGTGGTAAGAATGTTGGAATGTTCTAGTAGTTGATTAACCTATCTTTTGGTCAATGTTCGTTTGACTGTTTGTCCTAAATTTGACCTTCCTCACACTGAGCGTTGTTGTTTCATTTTCCAACTCCATGAGAGAAAAC